TGAGAACAGAACAGGAGAAACCAGTACATAGCAGCTTAGAGTAGAATTTCTTTAAGACTGTGTTTATTAATAAAGCACAATCTCTGAGTGTGTAGCCACCTGGAGAGCTTAACCTCATTTAATCATTGATGTACGTGCAGTCAGTGGAGAACACAACCCACTGGGATACCAGCTCTGACATTTTTATGGTCTGAGGTGTTTCTAAATAGCAAATGGTTTTATCTGCAGTTTTCCTGTACATCATTATCTTCCACTGTGACCCAGCCAGACCCCAGATGAGCATCATTTCCTTTAGGTGGGTGTAACTCAAACTTCATCTTCTGTGTGTGTGTGTGTGTGTCTGATGTGTGTGTGTCAGTCTTTAAAACAACACAGATACAAATGTAAATGTTGCAATTACATCATCTAAACCAATGCAAAGAATACCTACACAATTTAAACAGTTGTTTAAAACAAGGAAAAATATTGTTTGATTTTGCAGCTTAAAAGCATTTATTGCATTTCAACGGTAGCATTACCAAAAGTGTGGACAGTTGTAGCAGTGTGTGTGTGTGTGTGTGTGTGTGCTATGGTAATTACAGCTCTGTCGCACTGCTCTAAACCCTGGGAGACATAGCATTTAGCAGACTGGCCTTACCATCTGGATCTTCCGCTGGCTGAATGCTCATATAAGGCTCGCCCTTGTCCAATCTGGACTGCCTCTGGCGGCTCTCCTCTTCCAGAGCTGCCTCGGCCCGGCTTTTTGCATTGACGTAGGCCAGGTAGGCTGGCGAGTTGTGATAGGCCTTCATGCTCTCATTATACTCAATCTACGGTGGAAAAGATGACAGGAATGTCGAGGAAACAGAGATGGCAAGTAGACATAACGTGGACCTTCGTTTCTATCAAGTACGACAAGATAAGGAAAAAGGTTTACTCAGGAGTGTAAGAAAGGAAGGAATGATGACTGGAGGGACCCACAACTGTTGGAGACACATCTACTGGGCACCCATTAGAAAAACCCCATAGACACCCCTTGTAAAACAACCAACCTTCTCTGCTTCGTAGTCATTCAAATAATCCTGTTTCTCCTCATCAGTGAGGTCCCTCCACATGCCACCGATTATCTTCCCAATTTCCCATAGCTTCAGATCAGGATTGGAGGCTTTTACTTGATCCCAAACCTGGTGATGAGAACCAGACATGGGTGTGGGGTTGGGTTGGGTTGGAGGGGCTATAAGTGGTTATCTCTTTGCAGAGAGGTCACAAACCAGAGGAGGCCGTGTGCTTTAAACTCCATCTCCAAGGTGACAAATCCCACTATGTGATGTAGACAGTCCTAGCTAAGACACCTACCTCCATAAACAACTGCTTGTGTCTGAAACAAAATGTACGTCTTACTTACTCTGAGCTGACACAATATCTTAAAAGCAATGCATCCCTGTCTTCCAGCAGAGCACATAACAAAGGCAGCAATTACAAACTGTGTACTTACCTTACGGCTATATCTCATATATGGCATCAGTGGCTTATCGGGTGGCTTGGGTGGCTTTGGGATATTTATTCCGGAGGAATTCTGAGAGACAGAAAAAGAGTCACCTTAAGACACAGTTGCTGTTGAGTGACCAGGCATCCGTTTAAACACTCTGGCTAACCTAGGTTGAGTATATCTTATCAAACTGTGTGCAGGTGCATTTTATTTGACATAAAACTGTTTAAAAATGTGATTTGGAATAAAATACAAGATGCATTTCTTATCACTTCAATTAACCCAGTTTAATTAATGACAGTTTGAGGCCAAACACAAGCCTGGAACCCCACAGAGTACAATGGAACAGTGCTGACTGTGGAAAAAAAAAAATACTAAAAAAAAAAAAAAATAAAAAATCTCACTTAAACTGAGATTTGCCCATAATGCCATTATCAGAGTCAGCCAACCACAGCTTGCATGCAGCGACTAAATTACTGCTCAGCAGCCAGAGCCATGCAGCGAGTCTGTAATACCATGGCAACACTGATGGCATGGGTTACTTTACATGGCTGTCAAAAACGCAGACTTTGAAAGGCAGGTGGTATTTGAATACACACAGATGGACTCTTAGCCAGCCTGCACTGTGATGGAGACGGCAGAGGGAGGTTGGAATGAATTTCAGATTCATTCTCAGTAATGAGTGAGGCTTCTCATTCTGGCTATTCTGCAGCATCTGCACTTACGACAGTGGCAATGCAAAAATATATGTAATGTAATTTGCTCGAAGCAAAGCAGAGGTCAATCTTGTGTAAAGCTCCGATGCCATTGTTGCTCAGAGAGGCTTCTGCAGGGTCTTCCTTTAAATAAGCAAGCGTACTGTTCAGTGATTGCAGATTTTATTTCCTCCACTTGGGTCTGCCTGACATTTTTTTGGTCACCTTATTTTCTCTACATTAATATCATACCGTTACCCGACTGTTGCTGCTTTGGCTCCCTCCCAGTCTGTAGTTGTTGTAGGCCAGATGGCTGTATGGGTTGTACCCCACAAACCCGGGAGTGTTGGGCATTTGCTGATGGAAATAAATGAGACAGAAATATGAATGAGAGAAATGACATAAAAGAAGGAAAGGGGAGGGGGGACCCAAGACCAAAAAGAAAGAAAGAAAGAAACCAATGAAAGAAGCTGGGAAAATGCAAAATAAAGAAACTTGCATTCATGCCGAGGCTACAAAGAAATCATCTTTTCAGAAGCAGTGGTGTATCAGCACGTAAAGTGGATACAACAGAAAAGCAGATCTCTGGAAAAAATATATTTTAAAGCATGTACTTAAATTAAGTCTCCGATACCCAAATAATATTTGGTGTTACACTAATTAGGAATACTTACTGTTGTAGGGGCAGGGGGAGGGGGAGGGGCGTAGGATGGTCTCTCTGTTGTGAAAGAAAAAGGTCTACATGAGACATCAGCATCAGTCCAATAATACAGCAGATTATCTCCAATTTAACCTGCTAATCTTCACTATGTCCTTGTGATTTCTTCTATAAAAACTTTATTTCTAAATGAAAATAAATAACACCATCTATGACCAAGCAGACATCAATTCTCTGTTAATGCTTGATACAACTGTGATACTGAAGGTTGTGTCACTTAACAAAGGTTTATGAAAACAGCAGATCTGATAATGCATTTTAATATCATCACCTACAAAGGGTTTCATAGCACAACTAGCTAAAACACTCCCAGATCCTTACTTGACATCTTTGCAGTGAGGAGACGGTTTCAGTCTATTCCAGTCATTGGCTCTGCAATAAACACATTTTAGAGTAGGAGAACATTTTATGTTATTGATGAGATGAACTGTTTTGACAGGGTGGTTCATACATGGCACAAAACAAAGAGATGCCGATGATGACGCTGGCTAGCAACGACTTTAGCTCCACGTTAGCGTAATGCCACTGTGAACACTGACAGGCAGGAGAGACCGTTGGATATAGCATTTCATGTTAGCAAGGAAATATCAGTTACAGCGTTCATTTGTTCTAGATGAAACGCCCAAAATGTTATGACTATTTGGATGCAGTAATTGGTGAATTAGCAGTGGTAGTTAGGACTGGCTGGTTTCCACCGTTCATCTGACAGCTAGCGCTACATCTCTGCAGTGTCAGTGCGTGTAGCAAGTTAGCTAGCAAGCTAACGTTAGCATGTATTCATGCTAGCTAGTAGCTAGTGATGTAGCTGCTGTGATATGTTACTCCTAGCTAGGTTAGCCGCAGACACCAGCAACAAACAGAGCCTTAGTTAACATGCGTGACTTCAATTGCAATTATAATGTTATAACAACAGATAGAAATTCGATGCTATATTGTTAGCTTGGCTCATACGCTAAATTAACGTTAGCAGGCTGGCGGCTAGCTGGTTACATAGCCTAGCTACCTACATGAAAAGGAAAATGACATCTGAGGTTTTCTTAGCATGCAACGTCAAGTCAAACCAACATGTCTACATAAATAAATTCCCTTAGACATTGACGGTGGCAAGCACGCATTGATACTACAGTAATGGCCATAAAACTCACCATTAAAACCTCTAGTCCCCACCACAGCTGTGGCTTTGACAGGGAAGGCTAACCCACCTAGCTCAGAGAAACAGTACCCACAATAAACGAATGAAACGGGGTCCACTCGTAAGATTCCTGCAGAATCTTCCAGAATTGCACCCCCACCCTCTCCTCATTACAGCTGTGCTTTGCCTCGATGCCGATGCTCGTCGCCCTCAGCTGTCACTGCTGCGGCTCTCACTTATTGATGTGACATCAGAAACATGTCTTTCCTCAATATCAGTCTTTCCATTCAGAAAAAAGAGGAGATATCATAACAGCGCAGCTTCATAGGACTCACCATTATACCTACATAGCTTTATCTTCATGGTGCAGATGTGCATCATCGTAAGATTTATCAGAAACACAATGCAGTGTGTTTACTCTTGAGTTGCATAGAAGCAAAAAGCTGATCCACATTATCATCTTCTCTGCAAAATACATTACCTCATATAAAAAGTGTGCCATGTCAGTGCAGGTGATATGATTATATATAATTATGTGACATAATTATTATTATGTCACCTTACGGTAAGTTGCATTAAGGAGGCTTCACAGGCCACTAAGCTTTTGAGAAAATCAAGGTTGCCCTATTCACTGCTCCCTCTTTGTTAGAACTGAAATACTTAGAATTCTTGTTCACATTGTTCGAGAGCCGCCCAGGTCAGCAGTTGTAATAGTGTGTTCCCTAAAGATAACAATCCAAAGCCTGCAGGATTTAGCCTATATCTCTGCCCATTCAACCTGAATAGTACTTGTTTTGGATTTGTTAATTGATTGTGTTCATTGTGACCCCATTTCTGTCTGTTTACACTGCACACTTGAGAGCTTATTTTATTTCTGCTTGACCTGCATCCTGTATAATATGCATGCAGACACTGCTGTCATCTCATCTGCAGGTGTGGTGCTTCATGTTCTTTTTTTTTTTTTTTTTTTTTACTCACCAGGCAATGGCCAGAAAGCTGTATGGATGGGACGGGGAGCAGATTCCACACCAGGCGTGGGCAGGACCTCGCTTAGCGTCGGGACACCTGTGCTTGAGTGCGTCTGGAGGTAGGACGAAGGTCACATGCCTCCTGTAAGCTACTGTGCAGCTTTAGTGGACACTCACGCAGGGCCTCCCAGGCACAGCTGTGGGATTGTGGATGCCCAGAGGCAGAACGGGGCCTGTGACATTTTGAATCAATCAGAGGAAAACCCATAAAGCTGTTCTTGTAATGCAGCAATTCCTAAGCCTGTAGAGCTCCTCAAAATAGACTCAGGCAGTGGAACTAAGCAGACTTGAAAGTTTACTCTGGTGGTGGATGGTAGAGGTATTTTTAGAAGCTGCCGCAGTCAGATTATTATGATGTATCATAACATTATGATGTAACCTGTCTGTCAAACCAGCATTCAACATATGCTCAGGGAAACATATGGTGCATCGTCCTGCTGACTTGTTTGGTTTCATAAATTCTGTTAAGTTCACTGTAAATCAGGGGCGCTCAACATTTTTATGACTGACTGCAAGTTTCGGGAGCCAACATATGACTGAAGGAAAAGTGCAGTTGCAGGTTGTCCACTGAAATCGCTAACTTTAGCTAACAGCACTAGCATTGATAACAGAATGTACCCCCTGCAACACTAGTGAGGTGTCGCTAGTTGCTCTCTACAAGTTGTCCCCCTTAACTTGACAGATACTTGGTAGGGGGGCACAGTTGGATGCAGTCACATTATAGTGTATTAAATGTGGATTATGAAAAGTAAAGCATTGAAATTGACTGCAAATGATTAAAAGCTAATGCACGCATTCCATATCATGTTCATAGCCGCACAAAATGTTTCTTAGGGCTGCCATTGGCCTGCTGGCCAGACGTTGATCAACAAAGCTGTAAATGTTTTGTTTTCTGTCTCTGACCTGGAGGCAACATATTGATCTTTTCACCATTCGATAACTGAAGCAGGTAGACTGACAAGCTGTGTAGAATTCTCACACAGCTCAATAAGCTGTCATGCACCAACAATCTTTTGTCCAAAGGTTTGTTTCCTGTTTGATTGTATCACAGTATCTATGGCTGCTTTGCTGATTTGGAGCTCAAAGGTGGACAATGCTGTAGCCTACTTACCCAGCAAATCACATCATTAGGAAAATGTCACATGTCATCACTTCCTCTGATAACACTATCACTGCTACTGGACATTTGAAGCAGATATCAACAATATAAATATAAAATCTGATAACAATATGTTCTCATATATTGTTTTTAACATAAATATATGACTCAAACATATTTTCACTTAACCAAGATATTTTGTGACCAAATTGAAAATTTTACAGTTGTGAAAAAAAAACAACACAAACAACAAATATAAAATAAGTTTTAAACATTAAGCTTTGATGGCAGTTACATTAGTGCCAGTTATAACTAAAAACAACACAAACAAATCACAAATATGTTATATTTAAGTTCAAATAAATAAGATTCAAACACCCAAAAAGCCCTTAAACATCATATTATATTAATATAACATTATATTATATGTTATGATAAATACTTAAATTATGTGAGATGTGGTAAATACATTTTTATACCTCCGTGCTGGCAACAGCTGTGGCCAGTAAGCGTTAAATTTTCAGGTTGTCTGTCATTCTGTACGACTGCACATCCGTCCGTACTGTATGTCCCATTATCTTGAAAGCAATATCTCAGAAAAGCCTTGAGGGAATTTCTTTAACTTTGGCACAAACATCCACTTACTCAAGGGTGAATTGGTTTGAATTTGGTGGTGAAAGGTCATTTTGACCTCACAAAATGGCCATATCTCAAGAATTCACATTCTAATAAATTAGAACAAAATTTCAGGTGATGTATGATAGGATAAAATGATGGAGTGACAAAAGGTTAACTTTACTGTGACATCATAGTGTTCCACAAAAACATCTTTTTGTCCATAACACAGGAACAGGAGGGGAGACATTTGGATGGATACTGAATTGGTGACAGAACTGGGTGTTCACCTTGAAACTGTGTTGATAGATAGATCGTGCTGCAGGGTTGAAGATGTGTGTGAAACATCCACGTTTGGCAAAAATATACACTTAATATCTTTTTTTTTTTTTTAAGATATTTTTTGGGCGTTTTAGCCTTTAATTGATAGGACAGCTTAAGCGTAAAGGGGGGGGGGAGAGAGAGGGAAGGACACGCAGTAAAGGACCACAGGCTGGAGTCGAACCCGGGCCACTGCGGCAACAGCCCTGCACATGCGGCGCCCGCTCCACCACCAAGCCACCGACGCCCCAACACTTAATATCTTTTATTAAATTCCCACAAAGTCTTCACTACATATATTAGAAAAGTCTGGACAGACATCGATGTAAACTGCAACTTGAGTGGTTAACGTAGGCATCCAAATCTGTGTTAGTGAGCACTCCACCTGACAGGTGTGACATCAAGATGCTGATTCGCCTCTCATCCAAGAAGCTTCTTCAACTCTAAATGACTGGTATGAAGTTGCAGGCTATAAAACCTGTGTGGGTGGGAACCCTTGCAGAGTCGTAGGGGTCACGTGAACTCTTAGTTTCAGAGTCGTGAAGGTCACAATGTGGGTCGTTGACCCACCTGACCACCATCTGGGAACTGAATGTACATTTCAATACTGTAAGCCATCTCCAATGTTGTGTCAGTCAGTTGGGCAATCCATGGCCTCACAACCACAGACCACATGTAGTTACACCAGCTGAGGTCCTGCACTTCCGGCATCTTCACCTGCAAGATCGTCTGAGACCAGACACTCGGAACAGCTGATGCAACAGTTGGTTTGCACAACTGAAGAATTTCTGCTGCACAAAGTGTCAGAAACTGTTTCAGGGAAGCTCATCTGTATGCTTGTCCACCTCAACAGGGTCTTGACCTGACACCAGTTTGTCATTGTAACGGACTTGTGTGGTTGTGAGGCCTTTTGGATGTACTGCCAAAGTCACAGAGAGTACGTTGTTGATGGCGTATGGTAGTAAAAAAATTAAAACTCAGTTAATGGGCAACAGCTCTGGTGGACATTCCTGCAGTCAGCATGCCAATGGCATGCCCCCTCAAAACTTGGGGAATCTGACACATTGTGTTGTGTGATCAAATTTTAGAGTGGACTTTAATTGTGATTATTCCAAGGCACATCTGAGTAGTAATGATGCTGTTTAATCTGCATCTTGATTTGCAACACCTGTCAGGTGGATGGATTATCTTGGTAAAGAAGAAGTGCTCACTGGATTTTTTTCTCACCAAAATTTGACATTAATATATCTGTTAAGTGCATAAAAATCTTTCAACATTAACTGAAACCTTTGAAAAAAGGCAGCAACAACAAAATTGTTGCATTTACCAGTGACTAGTTCATCTTAATGTACTAGTTCGTTCTTAATTTATCTGTATGTTTGATATTTTGTCTATGTGATACAAACATTGGAATAAGTTTTCCAATCATTATTTATGTCAGCACAACTTTATTTTAAAACATAGTTGCAGCATGACATTTCCATACTCCTATATGGCATAAAAAAATCTCACAATACCACCACTAATACTAATATTACATCTGCTACTAATGATAACAGAAACATTATTGTTTCTAAAGTGTTTTAATTGATGTATTACAATGTGTACATTGTCATCAGGTAAACATTTACAATGTGACTGATCATTTTAATTGGTTGAAACTCTATATTTCAGTTCTTTGATCACTTCAGTGTTTTAGTATAACGGTCCTCTTCTGGACAAGATACACAAACCTCCGCTCTTTCCAACCCCAGTCCAATTGTATGCATGCAAACGTTACTTTATATCTTCTACACATTAATAGATAATATCAAAGGCAAACAGGAACAGTCTATTCTCGAGAAATGCAATTACAGTTCAGTACAGCAAAGTTAGAGATCAAGCAACATACTATAGCTTAAATACACCGTTTATGTAGTTAGAAGGCCTTTTACAAAGTCAAAGCCATTACCCTTTGCCATCTCTCTCACAGATTACAATAAACAAAAACAAATGTGTCTGAATGTGTTTAGTTACACTTCATTAGTTGATGAATGATAAAATAGGATTTGCTGGAACTTTTTTTGTGTGCATGCAGTTCACTGTATGAGTATTGGTGTCTCCAGATACTTTGCCTGTAGTCTTTGGAATGAGTTTTAGGATATTTGGTTTCTGACATATTTAAACTGTAGCTATGACTCTCCACCCATACCACGTCTGTGTTCTGGTGATCTACCTTTGGAAACATTTCTTCTTTAGTGACCAGTAAAAGTGGAGTGGCAATACACTGTCTCCAGCAAATTTACAACTGGTTTCAGTGATTAAACTCCTCGTAGTATGTAGTCCTGTCAGTGACTGGGATTTCTGACTGATACGACAGAATATCTAGGCCAACACAGAGACAAAACTAGAAGTTACCTCAGATAATTTTTTGATTGAATAGGTTGTTATGATGAATCATATAGGGTGTGCATCTACAGAAAACTGATTATTCTTTCAAAGATTTTTATTCCAGTTTCTTAAGGGAGTTTTGTTGCAAAATGGCAGAAGACAAAGTGCACTTAAACACACCCTCCAAGTTTTTCTGTGCACAAATAATGAAGTATTTTACCCTCACACCCCTAAGTGCCGTCTGATGATACATTAGAGAAATAAGGGAAAACATTTGTCAGATTAATTCTGGGAATCGGCTGGCCCATATCAACTGTCCACAGTTAGCTGCATTGAGATTATTGTGGGAGAGCAACTACTTTTTACACCTAAAGGTCATGGTTTACTACCTTTACCTTGCACAATAATCAAATGAGAGAGGCAACAAAATTTGAGGTTTTTATTTTTCTCTGACCCACAATTTATATATGTGTACTACTGCTTTTTAGGGAACAAAATAGACCAAATTCAATGTGGAAAAATGTGCAAAAAATGCATAATAATAGTAATAATAATAATAATAATGATAATAATGATAATAATAATGATAATAATGGGTGTCATGGCACTTTTTATTTTTTGTGTGGAGCTGAATGAACCTCCCTTTAGTGTGTTGCAGAGGTGGGACCAAGTCATTGTTTTGTAAGTCACAATTAAGTCTCAAGTCTTAAGCTCAAGCCCTAAGTCAGGTGCCAAGTCCTAAACTTTGAGTATTTAGTCCTAAACAAGTCATGTTACATTTTGAAAGCTATTACATTTTACATTTATTTATTAAAACAAGTTTCTTGGAAGTTCTTCCTGGTTCTGTCCTGCAATTTGATTTGATGCTGTTTGATTGGTTTAAACAAAGCACATCTAGGGAATTAAGTGTCAGCTTGTTGGGAATGAATTGCGTAAATGTTAGTTGATTCAGGAAATTAAGGGAAATTAATTGATTCATTGCACACTTTTTGAATAACATATTTTTATCTTTAGGCTTGGGGGTAGTTATCAAGTATTTTCAAGTCAGATGGCTCAAGTCCAAGTGAAGTCAGGAGTCACTGGTGTAAAAGTCCAACTTTTGGTTTTGTCAAGTTGAGTCCAAAGTCATCAAATTTGTGACTTGAATCCAAGTCATGTGACTCAAGTCCACACCTCGGGTGTGTTGTGCTCAAATAGTCCTATTTAAAGCTTACCTGACATTGAGGTAAAATTGAATGTGGAGACAAAAACCAACAAAGAACTAAAAATTAATTGTGTGACAGTAGCTGTGAATATCTGTCTCATTCTAATCTACTTTATTTTTAACATATCTGATGTTACTGCACCGTAATCTACACACAGATGATTTGTTAGGCTAAAATTTATGTCGTTCTGTGTCACTAATAATCATTGTCCATCTGCACAACATGAATTTGTGCTTGAGTTAATAATAACCATAGTCTCCCATGGGACAGATTGAGCAGGCTGTCCTTATCTGCTGGTGACAAACACCAGCATTAGCTTAAACCTGCTGCTCTCACCTGAACTCATAATACACACCACCAGTACAATCAAATTGCTATAAGAATATTACCAGTCTCGCCTACAGTATCTAAAATATCAGATGAGTAGTTATGTCTTTTGCACTGGTAATACACTCCTTTAATTAGTAGTGTGATGCCCCACAGACGATATGAAAACTGAGAACTATCGCTGCCAGGTTGACAGAGGAAACTCTGGTTTCCACATAATCATTAAGCTATCTTTACTGCTACACCCCTCCATTCATAGCTTCATGTTAACTAGGTGTTGCTATGCTGCCAGGAGCTTATTACACTCTGCTTGTATATTTAAGACACATCACGCCTGCAGTGTTCAACGCTGGCCAATAAAACATTCAGCCAGTTAGCTGCAGTGATAGTGCAGCACCAATGTGGGATGTTCCTTTTATGTTTTAACAATAACATTGAATACACACATGGAAAGCAGCCATTGCCAGTAGCTAGTGCAGATGGTCACACATTTAGGTGATCCTCACACTTGCTGATGCTAATTGCTCCACTTCCTGAAAATCCCAGTCTTCTGTTCCAATCCTAAACAATGCCCAAAAAGTGCAGAAGCCATTTTTTTTGTTGTGTATTTTGGCACAATCAGTATATAGCACCACCAAAGTTCTGCCAAGCAGTCTGTTTGGAGAGAAATCCTGTATGTTGAAGCATATTCATACAAACATGAAAGTCACACTGGCATCTTAGCACCAGCTGGAGAAATAAGATTATCCTATCAGCAGTGTACAGAGTTTCTAGCCCTGCTACGCTGCCAGTCCCTCTGGACCACGATGCTACAGAGAGCTCGTCGGCAAAGAGAGGAAGCAGAGTTAACCACGGGGTGATGAAGCAAATCTACTCTGGCCTTTCAGAGATACAGTTGTTCAAACTAATCTCACTTTTCACTTTGGTCTTGATGTTGTGAAAAGCTATGGCTTATCATTTGGTAACTCAAGGCAGGGGATTGTTGCACTCCTTTGTTTCCCATTTCTTTTTTTTATGTATTTGTTGTTCTCATCCCATCTTTTATTGCTACTCTTGTGTCGTCGCTGAACTAGACTCGTGTTTGTTTTAACCTACTTACCAGATGGGTGGGGTTTACGACATATGGGACAGTCAAATAAGAGCCACACTTTACAACCAATTACACAAATTGTGTGAAAAAACTAGTACGTGATCCTTTAATTGATCATCTGTCTGGATTGTCCTGATGCAGCGATTCCAACTGATCTAGTGCTCCAGAGAGAATATTATAAACAACTCCTGTTGTATCTCAGGTCTGATTATCTGGTGGGGTCAATGCATTTTCTTACTTTTCAAGAATACTCTACTTAAGTTAGACTTGAGAAAACGACACATTTCTCGCTCTAACAAAGATCACAACTACGACTGTTATTGGAAGGTTTTTTTCTGCCACCTGTAACTTTAAAGCGCATGTGTCTAAAGACTAACGGTCTTAAGTTCACATCGTAGAAACAATACACAACAAGTGCTCAAAAGACTCAGAGATCACATACTCTCACACACAGAAACAAAATAGCAAAAGAACTCAATTCAATGGTTTCCTTTTTTGTTGCGCAGGCTCAAGTACCATTGGCCTCAGGTGAAGTGAGGCTTTAGAGCAAAGTCCTTTTCCTCATGTAGTTCTACTAATAAGCACCAGTAGACTTCAGCTGGTCCTGCACCCCCTACTGCCACTCCACTCCTCAATCCCTCAGGGTAGCAGTCATTAACTGGTGGCAGTCCAGATCCCCTCGCAGCTCCAGCGGACCCGGCAGCCTCAGGCCAGTCTTCTGATCCACGCACCAGCACTTTCCTCGCTGGCCGTCACGTGCAGGATGACACTGTGGGCAGAAAAGATACATAAAATATTGTAGTAACATAAAACAGCATCTTTGACTACAGTTACAAAAATGAGAGCTGATATTTTTTATATTAACAGCGGATTAAATTACTATGTGTAATTTGAAAAGTTCCTCTTAAAGTCCAGGTGACATGGCATTTCGAGCTTTAATATAGTGATGTATTTCCAAGTTTACCAGGATGGGCAGATGGGATATAATTTTGGGAGGAATTTGATTTGATTGTTGAAAAGTGGCCGTGTCAAAACAGCCAGCCAAAGCCCATTGTATACTCCATGTAACGTTAATTGCTGAAGCAGTCCACTGTAAAATGCCTTGTGCATAATCTGGAGCTGTCACAGATACCACTTTACTCAAAGTGAAAAAATTCTAGCCAGTGGACTCGTAACCACGATATTTTGACATGTGCTGTTGCTAGCTAACAAACTTTTTCCAAGCTCTTTGTGGCTGAAAGTTACAGATTGATTGATGGGTGGATATCATGATATTATTGGTTGAAATTGGTTGGTATTAGCGTTTAAGCATGCATCATATTTTGTTTCGTATTATATAACTGGATCTTGACTTATGAATATGAAGGAATATATTGTTAAACCGGTGCACAAAATGTCCAGGATGTGATCCAGAGGGGTTAAAAAGGTAGTTTTCCCTCTTTCTCGACTTTAAACTTCACTGAGCTTTGTAGCATTTCCTTAAATTGATAATTTTGTTTCACTGCCCGCAACTTTACTGCTTCGGTCCACTTTCAACATTCTTTTCAGCTGCAGTTTTCAACAGATTCCAGTACCATTTGAGAACAGAGTGCAGCATGAAGCAGCTGAAAAGACAGATACTTCCCTCAGAAGTTGGTGGGGATCAAAACTGAGCTAAAAGACAGTGAATACTGGACTTAAACTTGCCAGGTGGATACAAACACAACTCTCAATAAATGCTGATCAGGGATAGATGCTAATATTGTGAAGCATTGGACCCCCAGTCCACCAAGCCCCTTAATTTGGTGGCTAAAGTACATCTTGGGTGGCCCGAATGTAAACTTACATGAAAACAATATGGGAAAGACAATTTAAAACACCTTAAAACCACCTACTATACATATTATCTCACAGTCTTTTAGTGTTTGGTTGTCTATTTTTCATAAGGATCACATTAGCAGTGTGAGTAGGCTTGGTAAATCCACACTTTAGCTTTTTGGGCTTTTTTTTTTTTTGCCTTTAATGGACAGGACAGATTGAAATGGGGTGAGAGAGAGAGAGAGTGGGGGTTGACATGCAGCAAAGGGTTGCAAGCCGGAGATGAACCTGCGACCACTGCAGCGAGGCATCGCCTCTGTACATGGGGCGCTGGCACTATCCACTACACTACCGACGCCCCAAATCCACACTTCAGCTGCCCTGACATATTGGTAGATAGCCGGTGACAAGTACTGTTTTCCTAGTATGTAACTGTGAAGTTGCGTTGGCAAAGGTTTGCAGGATGGGGATTTTTGTTTTCTTATTTAGCCTTTATTTAGTGTCTCAATTAACGTACTTCTGTACTTACACTTACTATTTTGAGTGCAAAAGTAAGTTCACACCGAGAAGTATGGAAAAATGCAGTGCACTATGAGTACCCGGATGGTGCACTCAAAATGGTCAAGAAGTTGAGTGTGGAACTATGGACACTCGCCATTTGGCTACATAGCGGAAGGGGAGGGGCCACTTTTCAAACTGGAAATAGCGGCCGAGGACTGTGCGACCGTGAATGTCGCTGCATTGTACAAATACGTGTGTTTGCACTAAGCACCACTATACTGTTGTTTATTGGGTTAATTTAGCAGTCTGTAATGATTTGTTACCGCGAACGATAATGCGAATGCTAATGCTAGTTTGCTAACTAGCTAATTTGCGGTCGTCATTTCCGCTGAGTGCACAACAGCTGTGTTTGGTTTGAGACAACACTACCCTGTTGAAATTTGTGCACTACGCCAATGAGTACATAGTGTGCACAGTACTTACACAGAAGTATACTAACGGAAGTATGTGATTTGAGACACACCTCTGGTCTCATTCTTAAGAGAGACCTTAATGGCCACAGGGGTGCCACCTACAGGTGATATTTGGTGGCCACACTGTGACTTCTTGTGGCCACGGGCCATCAGGCTATGGTCAGTGTCAAACCCTGGCTAATGTTGCTTCATCCTTGCTGGATAGGTAACTGCTTGTAACTCGCTTGGTTGAGGTGTTAATTTGCCGTTGTGTTTGTGTTGTGTTTACAGCTTGTTGCGTTGCCCTGAAGAATCAATGAACGCAGGTTTATATGAAACTAAGCACTAGATTACAGACTAGTTTTTTGTCTTGAAAGAGCTGTCAGTGCTCCGTCAGCAGGGCCATAACCCTCCAAGATGATGTCAGACCTGACTTTTAAGCTTTGAAAGATGTTTTCATTGTTTTGCAGCACTTGGCTTTGTTCTTCATAAATGGTCAAACAAAGCTGGTGAATTGTAAAAAATATATACTGTATAATATATACCCCAAAACAGAATCATGTATTAAGGCAAGCTACATCCAGCTGGCAGTTAAAGTCGCCTCTAACAAACCGTGAGAGGAATTTCCAGTAAATAAATGGATTTGAGTTACAGCCCATTAGATTCTGTGAACTATTAACAATTCCTGTAATACAAAACTTATTGGGTGATTTTGTATGTTTCTGTATTGATTTAGAGTCTCACAAAGCCTCCAAGACCAGTTAACAATCTCAGAGCAACCCTGCCATAAAATGATTGCCAGTTGTCCCTTACGACATGTGCTTTACTGCCCAATAGGGTTTTATCACGTTGCAGTTTTAGTTAAACAGTAAACAGATGCCTGTGAATGTGAGCAGGCAGAGATACTTTAACTATGTTACACAATCAACATAACTCAGACTTTTGATGACTGGTGCCTTAGCAGAGCTTTTCCTTTTATCACTGACTCTGCGTCTGCTGCGGCTTTGATTGCAAGTACGAGTCAGAGCAGTCTTATCTGTGTATTTATGTTCTCTGATTCTCTTAGTCTTATCTGCATAGTTGCCCAATCTTGCAAAGGCAGAGTAACAAAAAGCAACTGCATCCAAAAGCTAATTGCATCCATCACAGCAATAAAGTGGTTATTGGTTTAGGGGAAACCACGTTACACACGCGGTTCGACCCTTGATTCCTGAAAGAGAAATCAGTTTTCATGTGAGCCTAGAAAAATAAAGTCTTGGCATTGCCATGACAGTCTGCTTGGAGACACTTTTGTGTTGATCTTGAACTAGTAAGACCGCATTTCATCGGCTGCAGGCATGTTTTGTGTTTTGGCCCACAGATTGCTGATGTAGTTTGAAGGAAACAGTTTAAAGATAGGCATTTTTATTTCTATTGGCATGATAATACAGATTCACAGTTCACCAGTACACATGGCCAAACAGCTCAGTAAATCAATGAAGCTCATAACGAGTGTGTGCTTGACATCACAGACCTGTTTGGCGTGGAAATCTCCGTTCTTGTCACAGTTGGGTATGGGAATCGTGAAGAGATCATCGTGTGTACGTGTATTTGATGCTAATCTGTCCAACGCTCTCTGTAGCTCAGCACGACATGGAGCCTGTAGGAGAAATCGTTTTTGACTTGGTGTTTATACACATCAGCAGAGCTGCAGACATAGATGTATATAGACATGTCCATCTCGACGTAGCTTTTCAAAAGAGAGAGAAAGTTTAAGTAAAATCTAAGATTCGCCACCAGGCGAATAGGTATTGTTTTTGGATTCCCAACTTTATTTTCTCACCGTCAGTGTTTCGGGAATCAGAACTTTTGCCATTGGAATTTATTTATTGAAGTCAAAGTGTTGGTGTGGGGTGACAGCTAAAGTGAACATCACACAGGTTTTAATTTGACACAAAGAAATGTCAACACCCTAACATCCGCCCAGTTGCTAGAAGGAAATGTTGTCATTGTACTTTTCTGCAAACCACAAATGTGTTACATTTGCACTGTTTTACATGTGTCACATCAGTGTTTATAAAGTGACATAGTATATGAGCTGACAGGGATGGTGGATAGTGTGTCACCTAGGCGAGATGTTAACCAAGCTGCAGACCACTGCTCGAGACCAACAAACAACAAAACTTGCATTGTTTTAGCAAGTCATCGCTGTGTTGCGTGTATGTTTTCATGCACCAAACGTGGGCATTTTGCAGTGAACTGCCAGTGAGGATAGTGCCACCAAAAGCGGTTGTTTTTTATCAAGAGATTGCTGTGTTTCCAGCGTGGATTGTACCACCAAAACCGCGTCTTTTAGCCCAAACATGATGTATTCCTGGCCATGACCAAGTGGTTTCTGTGCCTACACCTAACCACACATTAACCACTGCATTGTTGAAACAGAAAGTTTCAACATATCTGCTACATAATAACATGCAAATGTAACAAATCCGGGGTTTGTTTTCTTTTCCTGGCAGTTGGGTTGCTTTTATTGTTTGTGCATGCAGATGTAATTGCAAATAGTGCTAAGGGTTGGTTGCATTGAAACCACAAGTCAACTAATGACTGCATGTGAATGCATCATTCTGGCAGATTTTTTAATCAGTCTGCACAGCCAGTCCAACTGCATTCCCAGAAAGTCTTTAAAAGCATAAAAAAATCTATAGGTGGGAGGCTGTGGCATTGCTGTGCATTCATGTCACACATTCCTGTGTTAAATGAATGTACTAAAATGTGGTCAAAACCAACCTGTTACTGATTAATGGGGATGTTATTATCCTGCTCTTGCCAATGTTAAAAAAGCAAATTGCACGTTAATGTCAGTGTACACCTGTACTTTATTTCGCAAGACCGCAATTAAAGGTTACGGTCTGTAAATAACTAATTTGTACATTTATAACCTCACTGTTACGCTTGTGGCTTTGGAACTATAAAGCCTTAATGTGAAACACCTGCTGGGGTTTTGAGGCATGTGCTGCAGAGTTCTCTGTGAAACTGATAAGATGTCAGAGGATTGTTTCTCTCACCAGCGCCGCCTTGGTCTCCTCCCTGGCAGTGTTGCTCCTCTGATTTGTGGATTTTGGAGGGTGTCGGGCCAGGGTCTTCTGTATGCAGCGCTTGTCCTGTGGACTGCACCGGATATTGCTGTTGTTTGGGTGCTCAGGGATGATCTCATCCTGCCTCTCCATTGCTAAGGAACAAAGAATAAGAGACAGTTTCTTAAAGGGACTGTTCACTCCAAAAACAAAAAAAAACTCTTACCTGTGCTGTTTATCAGTCAAGATTGTTTTGGAGTGAGTTGCAGAGTGTTGGAGATATCAGCTGTAGAGATGTCTGCCTTCTCTCCAATATAATTGAACTTAATGGCATTCGGCTTGTGGTGCTCAAAGCGCCAATAAAATACATTTGAAAAACTGAACAGCAATGTCTCTTTCCAGAAATCATGACCTGTTTACTCAAGAGAATCCACAGACCTTGTTGTGAGCAGTTTCATGTCGGAACTATTTTCTGTCTACCAAACTACACCCGCCAGCTATATCGCCAACCCAGAAGGAAGCGTGCATCTACTCTTAGTTAACCTACAACCACTGAGCTAGCTAATGTGACAGGTCAGGGATGATACTGTTAATGTTGATATCTTGCGCTTTTGTCCATGAGTAGATGCACGCTTTCTTCTGTGCAGTGATACGGTTGGCAGGTGTAGTTCAGTAGAAAGAAAATAGTCCCTACATAAAACTGTGGATTATCTTGAGCTCATGATTCCTAGAAAGAGACAATGCTGTTGAGTTTTTCCAAATGTACCACAAGCTGAGTGCCATCTATTTCCATAATATCACAGAGAAGGCAGACATCTCTACAGCTGATATCTCCAACACTCTGCAACTCACACCAAAACAATCTAGATTGATAAACAGCACTACAGGTAAGAGGAAATATATGTATTTTTCGGGTGAACTGACCGTTTAAATTTGACAACAAGGTGGACATTGCAATGTCAGAAGTATTTGAATAACAGTTTGTGAAAAACATTTGTATGTAAGACATGATCGTTAGTGCATCATAATACCACGTTTTCACGATATGAGCATAGTTTAGAGTAACGTCCATTATTTTAATGACTATCTGGTGTCAGATATAGAGCAGGAGCTGTACTGCCTTTCCTCCTTGTCCTTCTGCATAACATCCCATACAGCTGAACATGGTGAGATGTAGGCTAAAAATGAGGCCAGGTTAACCTCAAGGACACAGAGCCGTGTTCCCGCTCTGGGGGGTAATGTGTACCTCAGCTCTCGCCCTGGTGCTTTTCAACTGCTGCACCACGGCCATGCCACGAGCTCTGAGGCTTTTTAAATGATACCACCCCTGTTCTGCCACCCTCTGTACATTGTGGTCTGTGCCACATTCACCTTTGCATCCCTATAATTCTGCAGTTCTGTGGCCCTGCAGGCAGCCAGCTGCTTCCTCAGGAAATGCCCCCCTCCCTGTTCATTCTCCACCCCTCCACAACAACCTCTCTCTGGGCCAGATGGAGGTTGTTAGAAGGTATTTGCACTGTCACAAGTGGGCACAACTGTGTGCTTGTGTGTGTGTGTGTGTGTGTGTGTGTGTGTGTGTGTGTGTGTGTGTGTGTGTGTGCGCGCGCGCACTGGTTGGTGGCTGGGGGGCACAAGATAAGGGTAAGGGTTGTGTGTGACTTTCTGTGTGTATATGCATGCTGCTTTTTCACCTGTGGCTTGCAAGACTTGGCAGAGTCTTTTGCTTTCTGCTCATAACCCATGGCATTTTACAGATTGGCACTGGAATCAAAGTACTTCAAACTGCGGTTTTACCGTTTTGAAGCTGTTCTCGCTCTGATCATTGAACCAGATCTGAGCTCTGGTTAATATCTAAGGTCACTGCCAGGCATTCAGTTAATTGCTGTTGGCAAGGAGACAATGAAGGTGGCTCAGTAACCCCTTGATCTTGTGCAATGTGCAGCCTTTTCTCAGGTCTATTCTACAATGCATGAAAGCATACATACACACAATCCAAACCAGTAAAAGCTTTTCTTTGCAGGACTTGTTCTTGAGCAAGTCCTGGCACTGCTGCATTGAGGATACTGATCTTGAGCCATTTTCCAGTGATGACTAGATTTTTTTTTGCAGCTCATTGACAGGAGTTTGAAGCCGGCCATGTTTCTCTAAACTTCATAGACAGTCATGTTGCTTGGCTCGGCCCGTCTGGGGGGGAAGTGTCTCTTGGCTGTTTGTATTTTTAGTCTTGTTGCTGTTAAGGCCCGCTCATCAGCACTTTTTTCCACAAGAGCCTACAGGGTTTCAGCTGTTTCCTTTGTTCCAAGTTGTTCTTTCTCTTCTTTCGCTAGTTCACACTTTTCCGATTCCACGCTTTTTTTTTTCACAGGGCGAGCCAAAGTGATTTAGAAGTGGGTCAGGGGTGGCATGTCCTGTTTGCTACCACTGCTGTTTTCTATGGAGGAAGTTGCCACTTCTCTGTGTGGTTTCATTTGATTTGGATCAGCAGCTCTTGGCTTTGGAAATATAATTCCTGCAGTGCATTATCAGCCCTAGAGCTGATACTCTGCAGTGCATTGCCAGTCACAGGTGCACAGCAAAGATAAAGAAAGATCTTGAGTAAACATACTGTAGTTATACTCAGAATCAGGAGCGGCCTTCACCTGTCTTTTTATACATTGTAATAAGCCCAAATTAAGCCAAGACCTGTTATAGAAATAAAGACCACTACTTGTCTGATAATTAGCAGATTAAATACATGATCAGATTCATTCATAAAATCTTTTTCTTATTTGAATAGCCTAGTATGAGGTCATTAGCCAGTGCTGTTAATCACAGTGATACAGCACTGATCGATACAGTACGGTGAACACAAAGCTCCATTATGTTAGCACGTAGCTGACAAATTCCAAATCTATTACACAACAAACAGCATTGCTTGCTCAATCAAGTATTTGTTGTCTCATATCAGCTGCCGCACTTGCAAATGTATTCGTCGCACTGTCCAGCCGACGTGTGAGCATCATTCATAACGGGATAAAAAGAGCAGTCTGGCAGGAACAATCCTTTAAACAAACACACATTCACAAGTTCATTGCAGTTACATCATCTAATGTATGTTATGAGAGGTCCGTACTATGTCTTCTGTTTAAATATTTGTCCTCTCTTTGCAGAACAGTGACTTTAGGAAGTGAAGGGCTCGTCAGATTTCAAATTCCACTGTTTGTGGCTTTGAGGCTGAACTTGTAAACCCCAAAGACAAATATCCTCCTTGAATAAATATTTAGTTACACTCAGCGAGATTGGCAGAGTACTTTCCTATAGTTTATTCTTCCACGAGCTTAGATCTTGGATCTAAGCCAAAAGAGAGTCCACTATGTGAGGCATTTGTACAAAAACCTTAGATGCACCCTTTCAAAAGGAACAACTGTATTTGTGTTCTGTTCAATACAGATTCATCACTGAGGATAGCTGCAGCAGTCATGAAGCGAGGTAGATAAGTAAGCCCTTACATTCAAGTTAGGAAGCACTGAGAGGAGCTGCTGAGTAACTTCCTTACAGGGCAGAAAGCCGGCTGATGCCAGCAAATATTAGCTCATATCTGTATTGGTGTATGATATGGCTGATAAGTACCAAGAAATTTGAGGACGTGTCAGAGTGCAGATTTTTCAGCTGTAAAATGTCCCTACTCAGTGGGGCTGAGTGATACTGAGAAAACTCTGCAAATACTTCAACATCTGTATTGGGGCGTTATTGTAGGATTGACTAATGGTGCTTTCACACAGTATTTACTAGGGCTGCCACGATTAGTCGACATATCATGATATCCATATAATATTGATATATTACCTTCCCTACAACCCAGTAAATATTTTGGTTAAAGTTCTTTAAAAATGTAATGTAAAGGATAGCTGGCTTCTAGTGGTTAAAACGTATTATTTTGCAGCAGTGTATGTACTTTCGGGTGTGTCAATCCACAGTAGGGCTGCACAAATCTAGATATTATCAAAATTTGCACCTAGGCCAATTGCAAAATCCAAATTGAGGGAGCTGCAATTTTGCTACAGGTAAAATGTCCCACATTACACAACCATAAATGAAGCAATGTGGTGCCACAGAGATGCTCCGGCCTACAAATCATATTCCAAAAATCACTTCATCATTATTTTCATATTTTTTTCAGTTGAAGTTAAATGCAAAAATTAACTTTCCCACTAAAGTCGGGACTCATGTCGCAATCGTTTTATCTGTTAGAAGAACCGCAATTTTATTTATTTACTTATTCCATATCGTGCAGTCCTCGCACTCAGTGGCATCATTGTTGGGTGTGGTTACAGGTGCAGCTTATGTAGTTACAGGTGTACCATAATATATTTGCGACCAAACACACTGAAAACTTTTAACCACAAGGGGCAGTAAAGCGCTGCTTCTAAGCTTTTTGTTAAATTACTCCAAAGATCAGAAATACAAAATACAAAGGAGAGAGAAATGACAGCAGAGCAATGGTACGGCAGCTATTTACAGTAAATTTTATTTATTTCATATATATATATGTTATTTGTGTTGTTCTGCATTTAATTCATCCTCATTGTTCAGTGCAGTGAAGAGCCACTGCTCAGTGTGCAGGCATCATTTCCCTTCAGGTCATTCCTGTCCTGCCATGTTATTCATTTATGTTTTACAAACAATGGGATTAGCCTGATTTACTTACTGTCAGTCCATTAAACTCGCTTCAAGTGGCTTAAAATGTGAATTTCAAATTCACAATTTTACAAGACACAGAAAAACACTGTGTGTAGTGTTGTGGTTCTCCATGACGCTAGATAGGATATATTATACTGTATTGACAGCAACTAATCTCTTGAAAAATGAGTACTCTGTGGAGAGAGTACTCCTCCAAAATGCACTTGTTTTTTTAACAGTTTGGCAGCGAGCTCAAAAGTCAACTAGGCTTACTACCAAGAAACTGTTCTCTTCAGTCAACACTGGATCCTCATTTCCAGGCAGAAGATTTCTTTGAATCAGTTAATCATCAGAGTTTGTGTTGAGTGCAATCGTAAGAACACTACCAGCATGTGCTGTGAGAAGGCCAATGGAAATTTTAGGACTCTTTGTAGTGTCATTTGTCAAAGGAAAGATAGAAAGTTAAATCAATGCTGAATCACAAAGGTTGCCTTTGTGAAAAGGAAACCTGCTGCTGCTCTGCCTGATGCTGCTTTGGCCACGTCCCATCCAACTGAAGTCAAAACAGACATCAAGAAATACGACGTGTTTGTGAGTTTGATTCCAAAGAGAGCAGAGTAGCAGCAGTTTAATGTCCTGTTTGATTTAGTCATGATTTACCCAGAAAATGATTAGGGAGTGCAAATATGAAAATGATTAAACATCCACGTGCCTACTCTCAGTCCCAAACTGCACAAATCCTTTTTTCATTTCAGTGATATTATTGATTCTATTGAGGAGAATATTCAGCTTATTATTGGCGCTGTAGAGTTCACAGAAACCAAAGCCAAAAATAAAACTACCATCACTCTTAGCCAAGGCAGCTGTCTCACAGTTTATTCATTTTCATTTAAGAAAACAATTTGTTTGCCTTAACTTTGAAGAAGTGTGCAGTATTTCAGTCTAAGGCTTGAAACTGTTATTGTCCGCAATAAGCCAGATATATAACACACACACACACACACACACACACACACACACACACACACACGCAGGTGTGGATCAGAGAGAAAGAATATGAATAAAGGATATAACAGAGACTCTTCCAGATGGATCTCCATCAGAATAAACATTATTCTTTATCCTGACAAAAATCTTTTGGATCAAAACATTGTACTGCATGATGAAGATAAAATGTGTTTTGGGAACTTTAGTGCAGCATGAGGTTTTTCCCACATTCACCGCCTCTCCTGAGATTCATAGTTTCATCTGTTTTAAGGAAGCGATCCTGTTTTTCATCTAGATAGAACAAATGTTGAAAGACATCAGAATTTCTGCCACTTATCCCACAGTATAACCTGAACTGAGCTGTTATATATCATCTTTAACCTCGGGGACAGAACTCCGTCAGCCAGACTCCATCACCGCTTGTTTTGTAGATTTATTTGCTCGCAGATCTGTGAGTGGGACGATCTCAGCTATATATCACCTGTTGATATGCTCAAACTACTACAACTGCATGCTATGAATAGATCTATGAATAGAGAGAAACTTGCAGCTGAAGTGAATTAGGTCAAACTATTTTGAGTTACATCATTACCTTAATTTTGAGTGGATTCTTTTTTTAATATATGTACAGAATCAGTGCAAGGAGATGAAATATATGCTACGGTATTTCTACGGGCCAGTGAGGAGCTGCACTATCTTGGATATTAGTAGCTAATACAATATTTAATCTTTATAAAAGGCATGAATAACCAGAGCTCAGAGAGTACATTTATTATTAAAAACAACAATTTATCCAGATTTGACTTGCAGATTGCTGCGGTGTTTTCATTGCTGAATTAATAGGATCAAATCTCAGCTCTTGAGGATTCCCTGTCCTCCTCAGACGAGGCCCTTTTCATGGCCAGCACAATGTTGGATTGTTTATGTGTCTCTCAGCTCCAACACTGGAAGGGGGCTAATCACATTTACTCCTGCACGAGAGCCCCAGCTGTACAAATGTGCTGCACAACCCAAAGAAAGCAAATACACAACATTAAGGGACATCTGCTTAAAGAGGCTTTGGGAAAATCCTTGTGTAGCACCCCCAAAAATACATCCACGTCTCCTCGCAGCTCCCAAAACGTGCTGAGGAGTCCTCGCTCGTGGGAGAAAGGAAAATCTAGGTTAGCATGCTGCTTTCATAAAGACCTGCGTGCGTCACAGTAAATTGGGCGTAGTTGGACAGAGCCGGGCTCCATCGACAGCTTCATTCATGCAACTCCTTTGGTGCCTGTTGGTGTGAGACTTTTTATATCTGACATCTGTATCAGTTTGTAAATAATATCTGTTTCACTGTCCGAGGGAAGCATTTGAATACGACTCCGGGGCAGGCTCGGCAGGAATGCGGGAGCATATGCCAACACACGCATGATGATTTATTCTAAGTATTAAGATAGAGAGGGTTTCTAAGAATGGGATATTAGGATGCACTAAAGCTGTCTTAGACCTTGACATAAGATGCAGGGTAGTGCTTGTTGTTGCTATGGAAATTTGGTTCAAGAATAGCCTTAAGGTTGATACATTTTTTGAGAGAAATACTCAGTTTTGGACCAAAGAAAATTGTCTGATAGCTCATTACTCTTGCCAGCCTGATTTCCTGAATTATCTTTACTTAGCTTCTTCTGTCATTGGCAGTGCGTAGATTAAAGTTACAATCATGAGGCAGCGTAAATCTTTGTGATAAAAGTGTTATGTTGCAGTATCTAAATGCTGTAACCATTAGCCTCAACACCCTAAATTCCCTTCAACGGGCTGTCGAGATCTGCCTCTCTCCCTGGGTCCTTTTCATTATGAATTCTCTTGGTTTTTAAAAACCCTCTTCTATTTTTATCTAGCATGTTCACTGTTGCTAGGAGTGGGGCAGTGTCAGACATGTATTCAGGAGATGCACCCCCTTGTTTAATAATGCATAAGTACGGTGAATGCGCCACAAAGGAAATCTCCTGCTTGTGACTGGAGTTGCTCTTCGCCTCTCCCTCATGCCTCTCTGATTGTCTCTCTGCTGCCATAGTTTACATTGAACATTCTTATACGGCGGATCTGAGCTGCTGCCCAGAAGAATTGATTTACAGTGAGATTTATTGGGCAGAGCTTCCCCGCTTTGTTATGACAGACTCCAGGGGTGAGAAGGAGTGTGGAGGCAAACAGAACTCCGCACTCAGATTACAGAACACCAAAAGCAAAACTTAGGAACTTTCCAAAAAATCTTCCATCTACTGCCGCCCCGCCCCAGAGAAAGGACCTGAGACTCCCCAGTGCACTATAACCCAGTTCCGGGCCAGTAGATCGGACACACACAGCATCAAAGAGCAGGAATAATGTTCAGGGAGTACATTCTGCAACATAAACTGGTGTGGACGGCCGGAGCCGGGCCAAGCTGAGACAGCCCTCCGTTTTTATCATGCTCTGAACAGCTTTCCTCTTCTTTCTGATTCCATTTAGTCATGCTATGTGCCGGCCTAACCTATGCTGGCCCTGCACAGAGAGCAGAAGGCTCTCATTTCAGCTCTGGCAGCAAGAGTGCCGATGAGCTCATCCTCATGAAGGAGCTGGACGCGGTGGGCGATGCGCTCGAAGGCTTGTTGTTGGGGGGGTGGGGGGTTGCACCCAGGGCCAGGGGAAACAGATGCTGCAGCGAAGATGAGAGTCCTGGGAGTTTTATATTGGTTAAGTTCATCCAAATCTTTGGTGTTCTGGCGCTAGCAGATAGTCTACTACCATTACCAGTAACTGTCTGGGAGCCTAGGCTCAGTGGAAGCAATGCCAGGCCAGTTAGCTGATAATCTGGAACAAATGAAAGAACCACCTTGTCTGCGACACATTATAACAATTGTCTCATATGGCATAATGGAAATCAACACCACTCCCTTTGTGGGGAGCAGAGGAAGGCTGTTTCATCAGTATAAAGAAGTTAACGTCAAAGCAGTGAACTGGAACTGGATCTGCAGATAAGACATCCAGTATTAGACATCCCACTGTGTGAAAGTGGAAACAGACTTTGTTCTTTGCAAAAGGAATGCAGCAACAAAGAGGAGAATAAGAAGCCGTCCCAAAAGAGTGTGATCGACAGTAGAAGAGGAGTTGGATATCTGCAGCAACAGCAGGAGGAGGAGGAATGGGGGCGTCCATGAAAGAGCACCAAGTGAATTACTGATTGCAGAGAGCTCTAATAGCCCCAGACTGGCCACACTCCATTACAGTCATTTCATACAGCAGCTTTTATTACCTCCTCCCATTACAAACACACACACATATTCACTTCCCCCCCACCACACACACACACGCACACTCTCACATTCCCAGTACCACCACAATGCACTTTATTTCACTCCCTGCACTGTTCGACTACCTGCAGGATCTCAGTTTAACGTAGGCATGGTAATTGCACACCCAAGAGTTGCTGGGAAAGGGAATTTTTAGTGTCACCATCTGCATTAACCAAATGCATGTTTCCTGCACTGAGACAGGCGGCTAACTTGCTGAGTGCAGACACATGCGGCAGACATACACAGTAGAAACCCCTCACACACACACTCACATGCACACATGCCCACCTCAGCTATCACCACAGCGCTCTCCTCTCTGAAGCCTGCTCTGCGTCTTACAGCAGGGCCCCTTTCACAGCGAGCCGCCGCAAGACAGCAGAGGGACTGTGTGCGCTCTCCCATCAGGCCATGCGTGAGGAGCTGGTGTGTGTGCATGCTCTGGTTCAGGGCTTAGCCGAGATTAGGGTAAACAAGCAGCACATTGTCACACCCCCCAACTCTGACCCTGCCCGGCTCAGGTAAGGCCCAGCGAGCGGAGACAGAAAATATTCTGGTCTGCTCGGCCGTGGGTCCACAGAGCGAGGGGGACGCAGAGACGCCAGTCCAGGTTTGGACAGACCGGGTCAGCTTTACGTGTTCTACTATGAGAGCATCTTGACAAAGACATTTGCAGATATCAAATGTGTTGTAAAGGCTTTGGCGCTGTGAGCCTAATTGTAGCTGACAGTTACTGAAAGGAAGAAGAAGTGCCCAGTGTAAAGAAGTGTATTTGCCATTAGTTCACACACAGACTCTGACCCCTTCGCTCTCACCTGAGTTCTCCTCCACCTCTCTCTCATCAGTGCACACCCCCTGGCCGTGCATCAGCGAGTGCAGTGGCCTCTCCACGCCACGCGGCGGGTAGCAGCGGAGGCCCGTGCCACAGCGGGGCGAGTAGACGCCACAGTGAGCCCCTTTTGCCAGGGCACAGGTGGGGCAGCAGCCGCAGCCTGGCTCCCTCACTGTCTCCTCGCAGCCCTCCGGCAGACGGCAGCTGGCCAACCTCTCCTCAGAGCACACCGGGCAGCGGATGGCCTGGTCCGACAAGCACAGTGCCACCAGCGACAGGGCGCCAAATGCCCAAAGGCTCCAGCAGGACGGAGCTACTGCCACGCCACCTCCACGCACCATGGCAGCCCCGGCACCTGCACGCAATCCCTTGCCCTCGTGTACGCTCCCCTTTGCTTCCCTCTCCTCTGAGTGTTGTGCAGCTTTTGATGACTTTCTACTTCAACATCAGATTTTAGAGCTAACAAGGGAGGTCTGAGAGGAGCGCTTTGTCCAGGATGGTCTTTGATATTGTCAGCTGGTTAGTGTTTCAATTGCAGGGATACAATGCCTCTGCTGTATTGCCTCTCAGTTCCTCTGATTCAGTTTCACAGCGCAGAAATTGGAGCCTGCTCGTGATCTGCTCGGCTGGCGAATGTAGTGGTGATAAGAACTACTTTTTGTTGTGTTGGAATGAACAGTTGCAGGAAGGATATCCACCACTGTGTTCAGGTGAGTCTTGCTCTCTCTTCGAGTTTGAGTCCAGAGGCTCGCCCGCCGTCTCATGAAACCCCAAAAAATCTGGTCTACAAGTGTCCAAACGCAAAGCAGGTCATCAGAAGGCAGCGTTTTAAGTAACAGCTGCAATTTCCTCCTCTTGCTGGTGTGCAGTGTAAAGGACTCGCTCCTGAGAATGGCTCAACACGAGTGGCTCTCCTTGGACTTTATACTGGTCCATGGACACGCCTCTTTCTACAGTGAGAGAGGAGCTGAAAGGCACAGCAGAGAAAAGCCAGGCTAAAGCTCTCTCCCTCTGTCTTACTCTCTAGCTCTCTCCTACTCAGACACACAAGCTTATATACTGTCTCCCTCACTTGTCCTTTCTCAATCCTGAGTGCATGCAGAAAAAAACAAAAAACACTGAATCGCCCTCTCACTTGTTCACACACAGATTACACATTTTCTCTCCCACCCTCTTGTTATTATTCTTTTCAGTCATGCTTATTGCATGTGACAATCACTCGTTCTATTGATTTGCACTGATGAAACATTTGGGTCCGTAAAAGCACTAAGTAACAGAGAACACATCAGTGCTGTCCCACTTTAATCAACCCCAAATGCCCCGCACACACGTTTATGCCTCCAGGATGAAACATTGTTCAAACAACAAAACAACGTCATGCCTGCTCCGTCACCAAGGTCTCAGTGTGTGTTTGCGTACGTGTGCGTACAGGGGTCAGTCCAGTCTGTGCTGCTGCCCCCCCCTCATTATGTTTGCCCCCAGATCGCTCTTTCTCTCTCTTGCTACTAACTGGAGTGGGCAGCTATAAAAGGCAAATGGACAGTCTAACCCCCCCCCTCATCTCTGCCGCCCTGCCCCCACCGGTCCTAAAAAAGCCTCCCACCAGTGGGATCGCAGGATAAGTTTTAACAACGCTGCAAAGCGGGACAGTTTATTATACATGTGTGTGTTTCTGATCGTGAAAGAGTCTGTAAATCAGCTTGTTACTTTGTTCTTGTTTGCCCGTGTGTGCAGATATGCCCTGCACTCAGCCTTAAAGGTTTTGAATCATGGCTTTTATTGGTCGACGTCTCTCTCTCTCTCTTTTTTTTTTTTTCTTGTGTTCCTTTGCCTCCGTTTTGCCATGGAAACCCAGCATGTATTGTAATGCCTTTGTGAGTGTGCTTTCTTTCAGCTTTTTTCCTCCGCCTGGTAGCTGGTTGCCATAGGCGGGCCATGGGCCGGAGCCAAGCCTTACAAGGCCGTGCACCACTCAGGTGGGTGCCGCAGCGTGTGTTGTTAGTTACACGGCACCCAGATTCCTCATCCGTCCCTGCTCAGTATATGATCAGGAATTAATCAAGATATCAGTGGCCTTGCTGTGATTCTGCCACTTCCTGCTTCGCAAGTTGAATACTTAAAAGAAAAAGTACATCTGGTCAGTTTGGAGTAAATAGCTCGACTGACTGTAATAACAATGTACTAAAGCAGTTAGTAGTTGGTGGAGTTGCTCGCTGGTTCTGCAAGAGAGCCAACAGTTTGATTACGTGTCATTTATGAGGTGTTTTACTGTGAGTGTGTTTCAAGGATTCAAGGATTTATTGTTGTCATTATACAATACTGGATTGCACAATAAAGTGTGTGTGCGTGTTTGGGGGGTGCGGGGGGAGCATTCAGGATGTTACTCAGAGGTTAGCAGTGGTTGGTAATTTTGTTTTGTAGATGTTTGCTGCTGAGTGTGTGTGACTGTAGTCACATAGTTCAACAATCTTTGAAACAGACAAACAGAGCTACAACAGATGTGTTTACGTGTTTCAACCATTGTCTTTTAATTATTATTATTAGTTTTCGGGACTTTTTAAGCCTGTGAGGGGAAGGACAGATGGGGAATGATCTGTATCCAAAGTCTCTGGCCGGACATGAACTGGCAAAGGAGTCATTTATGCTGAGGGCGTTGGGGACGTGTCACCATCCCTTTTTAAAAGCATAATTTGTTAAAAATCCTCTTAAAAATAGCTTGCACCAAGAATGTCAGCCAACAAATGAGAACAGTTTGAGTGTTTTATTTGCACAATTAGAAAACATACCATGCAGTTTATATAAAGAAGTAACAAATAACGTAAAAAACGTAAGCTTAAAAAAAAATCCCCCCCGAGCCTACTGTGTCTAAACTGACCCAAAATTGTGCAGCACTTATCATAACTTTAACAAATTCTTAACACGTTAACAAGTTCTTCTTGTTTCCATTCTTTCCCCATGGACACAACAACACATATGAGTTTTTCAAGTCCAGGGGGTTTTTAATTAATTTAAATGAATTAATGCATCATTGATGTAAATAGGTGCCACATGCGCAAAGAGGTTACTTCCCCAAACAAAAGAAGACTGAAGAGTAAATCATGTCTACATGTGTGTTGACTCGGCAGGCATAACATTAAGTGAGAAGTTTATCTACATGTGAATAAATACTTGGAAGTGATATAGAATGCCTGAGAGCCTGAGTGCATTATATTCCATTATATTCTTATTATGAAATGATGAATGTGGTGACATAAGACACTTGCACCATAAATTAGTGATTAAAAAACAACCAGAATGCAGGAAATAAAGTGTTAATTTTCAATATTTAATGGGGCAGGCCCCCCAGAGCTCCTGCTTTATATGAGCTGCCTCCAACGTTGAAATGAAACCTATACCCTTGGTAGTAGCCTTGCCTCGCCTTTTTTTATCCTGACCCACTGTAGTTACCTACTTTGACCTCTTACCGATCCCTTCATTATACTGCCTAAAGTCGCATATGAGGACCGATTAAAAGGAGGTTGATGTTTTTATCTGAGCCCTTGAGTCCCCACCAGTTTTCATGTTAAAGTGATGCCCTTGCAAACCGGTGACATTGCTGTTCATGCTTGGTGCCTTAACCCAGAAGCCATCAGGGCACCCCATCATCCAGTGCTCCATAGGCTGTAATTTTTCTATTTTTAAGCAGATTTTTTTGTCTTAATTTCCAGAGTTGATGATTTTTAGCCCTTAAAAAATGCCTTAAGTTTAAAAAGTGGGTGTAGTTGTTAAACTCAGAGTACCTTTGCACTCAACATGAACAAGAGCCAGATGTCATCAGAACTGGGCATGCAACACACTCGAATAGAAAATCCAAAGATGTGTTGAAGGAGCTACAGTACTATTTTGAAATGATTTTATTTTGTACCAGCTCTGGGGAGTGAAAAGTTAGAACTGGAAGCAGCTTTGTAGTTTGGCCACAAGATGGAGTGATAGCTCCTTAAATTGAAACAAGTCAGAAACCATGTGGACCGCCTGAATTGAGATAGAACCCATATTTAGGTCTTTGTTTCACTTATAATCGCACAGTGTTACAGACTCTACATGTTAAACTTTAGTAAAGGGCCGTTTGTGTTATGATCATGGAAACTGTAAGGAGTAATCTTACTCACTTGTGTTGTTACTCTGCTGTATAAACATGCTTTGGTCTTTGTTGCTCGACCTTTTTCAAAATAAGTTCCTGTTCCTTTAAGGGATATCTCCAAAATTCACCGTAGTGACGTTACGTATATTCCATATTCAGAGAAAGTCCAGTGGCGGAGTGTGGAATCTCCTACTGCGAGAGCAGTCTCCTCCGGGTGCTGAGCAAAAAGCAGGTCAGACCATTTTATCTTTACTCAGACTTACTGTAATCTAACAACAAACTATAAAACCAAAGAAGTAGCTTGGGATTAATTCTAATTTGTAAACATGCGCTTCTCAATTTCATTTTGACCGTGTGAGAAAGTTTGTCACTGCTGTATTTTCCTCACTGAATATGATGTAAGAGTAGTTACAGCTCTGTGAATTATAAACACTTTTCTACTACAGTATTTTATTCTTTTACAGAAACACTTATGATAAACATTTTTGAAGTATTTATATTAATTTTTATAAGTTCAATGAAGGCTGATACAGGGTGTCTAAAGTGGATTTTTAAAAGCTTATGTCCTAATTCACTTTGAAACTACTAGTGTTGGAGTTTCACTGTCTGTTAGCACTGAAAGCTCTTTTACACTTGCTCCTATGTACAGACCTGGCAGGAAGTACATGTGCAGTGAACATTATCTCTTTCTCATAAGGCTAAATGTAGTGACAGGGTCGAGCAGTCAACCGTGGGCTTTTACCCCCATTTTTTTTTATTTTATAAACTTCTCTTTCTGCTGTCCAACCAACAGGAACAGTGAGATGCAGAGTGTTGTTTCTATTTCTTTACATGCTGTGTAGAGATAGTAAGGGGGATTTTTAATAGTCAAGAGTATTAAGAAAAGTTTATCAGTATGTCACATAAAATGTCTTGAATGTGTGCAACAAACATTTTTAACAGTGTTAAAGTCTTCTTTCTCTTCATTTCTCTGTAAACCTGTCTAGTTCTGAAAGCGCCATGAGAAGGAATCTGAAGTGGTTACACACATTTGGAAACTACCTCTCATTAAGCAAATATTGTAATTCCTCTCCGCAGAACATTTTGATCATCATGAACAAAGATAAAGATCCTGAATTTAGCGCCCCAGAGGGAGACGGGATGGGTGAGTGTCTGATTCCTTGTCTCTAGTGTGAGAGTGTATGTGATCAGGCTGCTCACATTTCTCCACAGCTGCCACCATCCAGGCGACCACACTGCCTGAGCACACATGACTGTAGAGTACTGAAAGCTGTGTATGTGGAGGGGGTTTGTGCGGGCTGCAGTTGATAGCAGACCATAAGTTGTCCCTCAGCAGCAAGATGATGAAGTCTACCTGCACAGTTATTGTTCAAAAATTGATTTTAAGAGTTCATTATTCCAATGGAGAACTGTAGTTCACTGGTTTGAAGTTCCTCCAATGAAACAAAAAGTAACACAAAGTTATCTGCACATGCACGTGTCACTTTTTCAGACATTTGCAGTGGTGTTGCAGATGTGAAGCCACAGGAGGAGGAAGAACAGAGGGAAGACAAGTCATTCAGCGAGAATGGAATACAGTGTGCTGAAGGTGTGACAGATCCACGTACGTACCCCACCACCACCACGCACAGATACCCCCACACACTCACACACACACTTGACATCTTTCCATTACGCCTTACATTTTAGCCATCACGCCACGCTGCATCTTACTATCACTTCTTTTGTCCACGGACATTACGAACAGTTGGAGAAAGTGGGGGGGTGGTGTTACAATCCCTGGTATTCAGTGGTGGGTAGAGCACTGAAAATCTATCCTTAAGTTAAAGTACAGTTACTTTTATAAAAAAGAAATGACACAAGTATAACTGTGAATTACTATTTTAGAAACCTATTCATGTATAAGTAAAAAAGTACCTTGTTCAAGTTCAAGTTACTCTCCATTTAAATATTTCAGGGTGTGCAGGGTGTCTCAATAAAGTAGAGCAGGTAGGCTAATCAGTTGAACAGGGATAGCCTCTACAACTGAGATATGAACAATCTCCCACTTTCCCTCATCTCTTCCTCTCCACCCATTTCTACCTTATCATAACATCAAAGTAAAATGTTGCATGAGAAATTAACACCTAATGTTGGCTAGCTAACTACATTTTCACCGACAGTATGTGCAACATCCGTGAATGTGCTTGAGGAGGTGAGAAGACGAGTTTTTAAAGCGGAGATGTCAGTGTTTTTTTGGAGACTCGGCAAGCATTTCTTCATGTACCTGTTGTCTTTTAGATTTTGGTATAAAAAGTGCGACCAGATGTGGTCAGGGATTGTTGCTGGTAGCTGCATCTTGTTCTTGGTTTTGCTCAGTCATCATTGCATTGTGGTCAAAAGACAGGTGGTGCTTCTTTTTCTTCCGGGCAGATGGAAACTTGACATCTGCAGATGAGGTGCTCCTCAAGCCCCCAACCCCTACACTCAGTCCCCACATGTAGAGCAGACTCGTTCTAACAAAGGTATAAATGGCAAATGAAGTGAAGTAAAAAGTAGATTACGGAAACAAAAATGTAAAGAGCTTATAAAAATGGACATAAAAAGTACTCATCCCCTAAAAAAGTACATTTTTTATTCATGTAAGCTACTTGTAATGTGTTACTGCCCACCCTAGTTGAGATTTAATACAGTTAAATGCTGCTGTTTGGAAAAACGTCAAGTCTAACAAAGTAACTAAAATGCTGTTCTTGTCTTTGGCGTGACCACTGTGCATTGCTGCATTTATGTTAAGGGTTTTTCTCAACTCATAGGAACAAGAAAGGGAGTTTACTCTTTGATTTCAGTGAAATATGATTAAAAACTAAACTAGATGAAATTAAATATTATCAACTAGGAAGAGAGATTTTATATTATGGGAGAGCTCTTGAAGTTGGAGCCATTTGAATGTCATTCAGCTGATGAGACATCATGAAGGTCTTGGTTGCTCTCATACTCCTGGAGTAGCCTCCTTTTTTGGGTCTCCTGCACTGATGCTCATCATCATGTTTCATTCAGTGCAAAATCATCAGCAAATAATTCTCAGAGTTTGATTTCATCTGCTTTCAACACTGTTCAGATGGAGTAAGGCAACATGAGTGCCAGGTCAACCTCAGTCTGGTTTTGTTCTTCACTGCTGCATCATGTACTGTGCGATAAAGCTTACATCTTAATTATATAATATGGTATGTGAACATTGTTGGTAGGAGTGTTGCAACATTCTGGTATTGCTCCTTTTAATTCATTTCTGTTTTTTTTTTCTTTCCATTCTTGCTTTGTCTCCCTCCCCCAACGCCATTTGGTCGCCTTAATTGCTCTTTTTTGTGTGATTCTGTGCAGTTATGGTTACAGATTCTCTCTTCACCTCTCTACACTTGTATTTCGAGTGTAATTGCCAAAATAAAGAGACAAAATAAGCAAAGTAAAAGATTAATTTCATAGCTTTTTTTCCAATTTTATGTAGATATCTATATAATAGCATTGTCGTGAACACTTTTGGCCACAATAATCATGCAGTGAGAATCTGGGCTATTTCTTCATACATACCCTCACACCAAGCATCTGTCACATTTCTAAATAGTGACCACCTTGTTTCACACATGATATTTTAAGTATGTAAATGTTTTCTCTCAGACTTGGTGGCGTTCGTCCCTTATTTTGTCACTTAAAAAAAAAGATGGTGTTACAGTCAGCTCTCCTATTTATTTCTGACTGCCACCCATCTGCCCCGCTGGGTGCACTTCCTAAAGCTTTGCTCTGCGTCTGATGCACAGCCTGCGGTTCACTGCTCTGAGACCCTGGACTCTATATCGGGCCTCTCGGAGCTCTGTGCGTGCAAAGTTTCCATAGCACCTCTGAGCGCTTTCCACAATACAAGGCGCTGCTCTTTAGCTCATCACCAGCCACCGCCAATACCACAGTGTGGTTTCTGGATGGAACTGAAGTACGCAGAGGGTTCGTTGACACTGAGCAAGAGGCTAGGTGAGAGGTCCTGTAAACCCAGGCCTCGCTCGGGACTTTGCGTGTCAATAGTTGCGGTGTTGAGTAATTTATATCCTGTATGGTGTGGAAGTTTGACCTGTGGGGGGGGTGGGGGTAAGGACAAGGGGCTAAGAAAATGGTCAAAGAAAATCTTGGATATGATTACAAGAACTAGAATTAGTGCTCTGCTGCATGGTGGAGGAAATTAGGGAGGACCTTTGGTGCAGATTAATGCTGAATTTGCAGCATTTGTAACAAACAGTCAATCTGAAATCTCTTTTTAAAAGCAGACGAGGAATTGGTGTTGTCTGTATGAGGCCCCTGCTGCCTCTCTCCTGCCCTGGTTCTAGTTTCTGTATATTCAGAGGAAATGCCTTCCCCCTTATCTTGAGCACACATCTTCTGAATCTCTTTGTGACATTTTTTATCGGCCCAAATTGAGCTACCCACACTTTGGAGATGTGTTAGTGCTAATATCAAAACATCAACTATAAATACAAATGTAGAAGTGACAGCGTCTCACATTCTGCTTGGAGTGGAGTCTCAGGTTTTTTTAGTGCCTTATTTGGAAGTGAAGACACATATGTACTGTTGTGTGTGTGTGTTACACATCTCTCCATATGTCTTCTCTCTATCTCTGTAAATGGCTGCTTTTTTATCGCATGTATCGGTCACTTCATGTGTGTTTACATCAAATGTCACTCCAAATATAATCTTTGCTTCTCCCATGCTTCCTCCTTGCTTAGATATGATAAAGACGGAGGCAGAGGAGATGGAAGATAACGAGCAGTACCCCGAGGCTGAAAAAGAAAGAGAGATTGTGCTAAAAGAGGAAGCAGAAGGGGCAAGCGAGGATGGCACGGAGGAAGGATTTGACGAGGAGAGGATAGAGGAGGACGACGAGGACGGGGACGAAGAAGGAGATGCCCTGAACGAGCCGCAGGACCTGTCACTGGTGGACTGCTCACGTTACGACAGCACCGCCCTGCCAGACGCCCACACAGCAGCAGCGGTGGCGGGTGCAGAAGGGACCTTTGCGCCTGGAGCTGTGGCCCCCCGCATCCAGGCGACAGGCAAGCTCAACTGTGACATCTGTGGCCTGTCCTGCGTCAGCATCAACGTACTGCTGGTGCACAAGCGCAGCCACACGGGTAAGCACAGGAACACAGCCAGAGCACCTGACCTCAAACACAGCTGTTGCGCAATCATCACTCTGTTGATAACATTGGAAGATAGTGCCTTGTATTGACTAGGTCAAGATGTTTGATTGAGTAACTACAATTAGGAAAACATAAGTCTGCATCATACATGACGCACGTGTCTTAACCAGTGCTGCAGCAACAGCAAGAGGTTGTGAAATACCCTCTGTTGTCGTTGTTTAAATATGAAGCACATGCAATAACTTGATTTGTAAACAGATAGGTCAACACATCATGGTGCGTCTATAGTCATTATTTTTCCACTAATTATGCAATTCCTGAAATAACTTATTTATATGATGCATGCTTAGAGCAGAGTCACACTGGAAAATAATGTTCACATCGGCGCACGTTTTCTTTTCTTTTTTTTCTATCCCAGGGGTGTAATTTACACTTCACACTTCTTTTAAACTTTTAAAAGTACCAACAGTATCTGTTATAGTGAGTGTCAAGTTACAACGTTGTAAGAGGAGATACATTTTGAAATCCTGAGCTGCATAGCATTAAATAGTTGTAATATAATTTTTGATATATCTCCAAGTATAAAGGAGATTAAAACAGTTGATTTGGTTACACTTTATTTCGATAGTCCGCCAACAGAAGGTGTGTGCAGTATTTGTAACATTTCAAGAGTTTAATAGTTGAGTTTTAACAATTTTGCTTTATTCTGCAGATGTTTATCTGTGGAGTAAATGCGGAAGTTCATGAACAATACTTATGCAGCATAGGTTGAATGAACAGTTGAGAATATGTAATGAATTATCACATATACTCTAAAGATAAACATCTACAGAATAAAGCGAAACAGTTGAGTTGTTGAATCTCCACGAAGATGCTGTTAAAATTCTTCGAATACTGTATAAACTATTTGTGGGTGAACTATCCAAATAAAGTGTTACTGTTAATGTTTGCATAGTTTGTTACATATAGACATGAAAAATGTACCTTTATTTTTTATGGACAAAGTTTCTTCATCAATGTGATGTCCAAACCGTACCAACATACCATCTTATATGAATTTAAAGTAATCTTTTCTTGAGTCCGCAGGCTTCACTTTACAATCTGCGTGCACTAAATGTGTCCCACCCACCTTTAAAATTAAAATTCCACCCCTGTTCTATCCGTATGTAGTCGTATTGTTGCTGTGGAGAAATACAGAGCTGCTTCTGCACACATCATCATTTATTAGCAGAAAACTCTACTCATCATTTTACTGAGGAGCAGAGTTGACTAGTAGAGTAATGCCGCCTTCAGATGGAACTCATGAGGCTGTGTTTTCAACATGGGAAGTCAAGTGCACAGTGAGTTTGGCATTTGTGTGGTTTGAGTCGTGAGAACGTCGTTTCTTGGTTTCTGACAATCACCATGGATGTTGCCTTGTTCCCTTTTTGAAGATGGTGAATGATTTGGTGTTTTTCGCAACTCACTGTTAAAGTGGGGACATGAGAAGGGTCAACAGCTAGAGTAAATCATTCAAAAACAGTTTATTTCTCAGAAAAATTCCCACTTAAGAGGTTGTGAACACCAAATTAATGTGTTTTTCAACAGTCGTATACAGTCGAACAAATCAACCCAACACAGACTCTGTAGTATCAGATAATTTACAATAAACCAACTTTAACATGAAATTAAAAAAATGTCGCATGATCAATACATGAAAAGGCAAATGTCATGTTCAGGGTTCCCAGTGTCATGGAAAGAAAGAAGAAAGAAAGACATCTAAATCTCTAAATCTCAATTTTCAGGCCTGGAACAAATGTAACTCTGATGTGCATCAATATGTGATGTTTTCTTTGGTATATACAGTAAGTGTAGTACAATAATTAACATTTGGAGTACATATAGATCTGTCAATGTGCTTATACGTTGTGAAAGGTCATGTAAATTTTGTTAAGGGTCCTTGAAAGGTCAGGGAAATGCTTACAATTTTTTCTATGAAAATGTGTGTGTGTTTAACTACAAGATTGTTTTTCATGGTGTGTTTAACTCCCCCAGGTGAGAGGCCATTCCACTGCACGCAGTGTGGGGCCTCCTTTACCCAGAAGGGAAACCTGCTGCGCCACATCAAACTGCATTCCGGGGAGAAGCCTTTCAAATGCCCCATGTGTAGCTACGCCTGTCGTCGACGCGATGCTCTGAGTGGGCACCTGCGCACCCACTCTGGTACCAGCCAGCCACACATTTGCTCACATGCACTGATACTGTATGCACCTGTGTACAGTAACATGTTGGTTGGTTTCTCACTCCCTCTTGTTGGTTTCTCACTCCTTTTGAATCTTAACACACAAGGTCTGCTGAGCCTGCACTGCTTTTCCAGTAACACCGTGCCATGCACTCTCACACGGTTACACACATCACATAATGATATCTTACTCATTTACCCCTGGAAACTTACTCACTCACTTTCAGTTCACGTGTTTTACCTGCAGACACACCGCACCACACAGCCCGTAATGTGTGCATCATCAGTTTTGTATGAAACCACTTGCTTAAGGAAATAATACAGGCTGTACCTGCTAGATGGTGTTGATGTTTAATGTGTTGGTGATTAACTGAAACTTGTGCTCACAGTAGAGAAACCCTTCAAGTGCAACCACTGCAGTCGCAGCTACAAGCAGCGAAGCTCCCTCGAAGAGCACAGAGAGAGGTGCCATGTGTACATTCAGAGCAAAGGTCCTGCTGACAGAGGTGAGCACAGTGAGCATTCGTCTCAACGCTACTTTCTGACACTCGCTTCATCAGCAACATCTTTGAAACTCTGACACGTTTTCACAGTACATGCAAACTCACACTTCACACTTATAGCTGCTAATGTGATCAGACCACTGCACAGTCTACATAAACTCATTTGCACATAAGGAGCGCACAATTAAAGCTGTTATTGCAAACAGGTCCTGTTTTATAGCCTCATTAAATTAATGAGCTTACAGCAGTTACCCCATCATTACAGCTAAATAGGTTATGGCTGCTGTGGTGTGCAGGCACAGCGTATGAAGACCGCTTCTAATGTCGGCATATGAAGACCGCTTCTAATGTCTGCAGCGGCAAAGGGGAAGCCAAGTATGTAGGGCAAATGTCTCAGCCCAGACACTCAACACACACACACACACACACACACACACACACCTCTATTTCTATAACCTCCCCCCAAAAATGGCTTTAAGCACTGACAGGACAGTTGCACAGTTGCAACACACATACAATGCTCCGCTTGTGTGGTCACCAAATGTCGTAAGTTTATGCCTGATAGTGCCGTAGTGGTGAGGAAGTACATCCTCATCCTGTGGTCTCCCCTCCTGCACTGGTGAAGTCAAACCCCACCAGGAAGTGAGGTCAAAGGAGGTTCTGATCTCAAATTAATATCTCGTTCCTCCCAGTTTGACTCAGCTGTGAGCAGCTGGTATGTTTTGCAGGATTTTTTTTTTGTTAACTTCACTTTATAAGCTTAAAAGCTTTGACAGGTGGACAGCTGCTCTCCTTTTACTTGTGATAATTTTTTGGTCGTGAAGAGATCTTCATTTCCTTGTTGCACTTACTCTCTCATGCAATTGCTGTCACACAGAGGACGGCCAGACATCCAGGACTCAGATGGGCACTGAGCGTGCACTGCTGCTCGATAGGCTCGCCAGCAACGTAGCCAAACGGAAGAGCTCGATGCCACAGAAGTTTACTGGTAAGAGCAGCGGCGCAGACTTGAACGAGATGAGTGAAGGCGCTGACCTCAAGCAGATGAAAAAAACTTGTGTTGTAGTTTTAAAGCAGCTTTTTGCATTACTTCAGATTTACACAATAGATTAAGAATGCCTGCATTTTGTTAATTTGATTATTTTGCTACCTTAGTGGCTTCTGACTATTTTGTGCAGCTATAATATGCTATGCTCTGTTTACATGTGCTTTCTGCTTTATATCATACTGAAGTATGTTAATGGTTCCCTGCCGTCTGTCTAAGCTACTTGTTTGTCTGTCTTTGCTGGCCTCCATCTCTTGCCAAACAGGAATTGAGGGCAGAGTACCTGCCTCATACCTGCACGCACCCAAGAGTGGTCGCCACTGTCCTAAATTCTCTGCGAGAATTGTGTCATAGGTGGGTATTGGTAACCATGCATGGTTAATAAATGGATACATGTGAAAAAAAGAGAGAGGGAAAGAGAGAAAAACATGTACTTGAAACTTCATTTAATTACTTTGTGTGGTTTGATTTAAATTCAGATAATTTGCCTGAGTGATAAATGATCAAAAGATAGCGGTTTCAGTAAATGGCTGACTTTAGGGCCCTACACACACAATGTTTTTCAATAGTTGGCTCTCACCTCTCTGGTTAGGCCTAACATTGGGTTGTAGTTTCGTAATCAACCCTCAAGCTGCTTGCAAACGAGGGTGTATTGGCAAAAAAAAAAAAAAAAAAAACTCCATCTCTATCAGCTCGACAAATGAAGTGAGATCTTTCAATATGACAACCACAGGGGGAAAAGAGAAGTAACCACAGAGAGAGAGAACAGGCGGGAGGCGAGAAACGTGAGCAGGTGCCTCTGTCTATTCTCCTGCGTTGCAGCTGCAGTAGAGGCCTTCGTCTGCGTCGTCTGCTTCCTCTCAGCCCTCTGTCCTCTCATGCCTCCAAGCTCAACTGCTGGCTCAGGATGCTTTAAAGCTTCTTCTGTCCTGTGAACCTGGCATGTTCCAGTTCACTGTGTAAGTTCTGTTTTGTGTTGCCCTGCTGGGGGTGCACGTTTTTCTCATTGCCTCTACTCAACACCAAAGTGAGGACCCCTTAGGATCTCTATTAGATCTTCTTCCATCTGTAAGCAATAACTGTTTTAACTGCTGCTTGTTGCCTGTGGTATTTCTCTGGTCTGGATCAAGTATGTGAAACCATTTCCTGCAGAGTGTTGAATGCTCTCTCTTCTCATGCGTTCTTGGTGTAGGCGACAACGGTGTCTGCCTGGACCTGAGCTTTAACAGGGAGCTGGTCTACCGGACAGACATCAAGGAGCCTCCGCCAGCCTCCCCAGAGCCCAACACCCATCCACATCAGCAACAAACCATCGTCACAGGGCCAGACGGCGACCCAGCCCCCTCTCGCAGGCCCTATCCCATCCAGTTAACCCGCAACGACATCAACCCCATGGGCCTCACTAACGGCCACAAGATGGGCATGCCAATGCTGGGCCTCCCTCACGCTGCCCAGCCGCCTCCCGGTATGGACTCGTTCCACACTGACGGCTCCCAGATGTCCCAGCCTGTCATGTACAACTTAGGGCACCTGCTGGGCGGGCTGAACCATCAGAACGGCATCCCTCACCCGCACGCCCAGCCCGTCCCCTTGTCACTGCTGGAGGCTTTACGGGTGGTGCGGGCCGACGGGGAGGGTGGGGCGCTGCCAGGGGCAGTGTACTCCTGCGGCCACTGCAGGGTGATCTTCCTGGACTATGTCATGTTCACAATCCACATGGGGTGCCACGGCTTCCGCGACCCACTTGAGTGCAACGTTTGCGGCCACCGCAGCCGGGACCGTTACGAGTTCTCTTCCCACATAGCCCGCGGCGAGCACCGCCTAGAACTGAAGTAGCTTTCATTCATGCTCACACACACACACAGAGACAAATGCTCAGACAGATAACTCTGTATGAGCACACACATACACAGATTTACTCATATAAGTAGCTGGTGGTATCAGAAATGAAAGCATGAAGTAGCAGCTATCTCTCTCTCTCTCTCTGTCTGTCCTTTATGTATGAGTGTGTGTATGTGTGTGTGTGTGTGTGTGTGTGTGTGTATGTGAGAGAGAAGGAGAGATTGAGAGAGACGTTAGGAGGAGTGTGACGTGTATCAGAGTGTTTTTAGTCATACCGTACTCATCTGAAAAGATGGCCTGTAAAGAGTTTATGCGGGAGTAATTCTACTTCCTCTCCATCACCGCTGTAGCAACTGTTTATATCATATATGCCACATTTACTTTCAAATGTTTAACAAAGTAGCAAATATGAATGTGTTTATTGTGTATCTGCTGTTGTTTCTTCTTTCTTGTTCTTTGTGTAAAGGTGTAAAAATAAAAGATAACCTCTCTCTTCCTTCATCACACATATTAGACCTGCACCTTGTCAAGAGAAGTTCAGCTTCTGTTAAAAACACTTGCCAATTCAAGACTGCAGAAAAAAAGATCCTATTATCTACAAGGTCACATGTCTCCCTTTTAGGCTGTGGTTTTGAGAGAAGTGCAGTTCACGGCTTCAAAGGACATCACTTCGCTCTGCACCATGTGTTGGTTTCTCACTCCTGAATATTATATACGCAAGTTAGAAATGGCTCACAGTTTTGCAGAGACGTTTTAGTCACACAGAATAGAGGCCTATATATATATAGAAAGCACAGATAAGTCTGTCTAAGGAGGACAGAGGTAAGGGGGATGTAGAAGTCAGAGTAGGTCTAAATTAAATGTTAGGTGCGTCTGAACACCTAAAGATACTCTGAAAGCATGTTAAAGCTGTTATGTTACATCACATCAGCAACAAAGAGGACGAGCCACTGCAGGATCTAAAATTGGTGTGATGTGAAAATGATCAAATGACGGTAAAATGTGAAATGACACTTCTTTTTGTGATAGGATTGTCTCCTAATTTCATCATGGGATTTAGACATCTCCGTTTCTTCCCCGGATGCTGAGGAAATAAATGTTAGTGTATCTTAAGTCTCTTCACACCAGCGTCCATCTGCTGGAGGAAGTGTGGTACTGCATGAGTGACTTGTGCATCGCTCCACAGCAGTGGGTCCCAAAGTGGTTTAATAGGAGTTTGTAAAAATGGAGCTGGGGGTCCCAAACTAGATGAATAGGTTTGTGTATTTATTCCTTCTTCAACTGGAGGGAAGCTCAACGAGAGAATGAGCAGAACTGATTTTAATCAATAGTTTCACTCTTCCCACCTCGCTCTCACTTCACCCACAGAGTAGATAGTAATAAATGTCTGCCAGTAAAACTCCACATATGGGAATTTATCTGTGTGAGTGTAACATTTATGCTCATATGATTTGTGGGAATTTATGAAATGACAAACTTCAGGAGCCGCCCCTGACAGCTATATCAGTGTCTTCTGGGGAAGTGTAGGCTCCGACTAGCCACTAAGTCAGTGTCTAGGCTGTGGTGTGTATATGAATTTTGATGTACATCGCCCACATGTCAGCAGAGGGACTCAGTCACGCCTTGCTGCCTTCAGACCAGAACAGGGTGTTAGCTTCATCCAGCTGCCACGGCGCTATCTCTTCTCTCCATCAGTGCCAGTTCCCTTTTTTCTCTCTTTGGGTTTGAAGAGAAGTGACACTTGTGAGACAACTGTCACTGCAGCTTCATGTCCATACGTCAGATTAAAAAGCCCAGTCATCCATTTCAAAAAAACAACCGGGCTGCTTCTCTTTTTCCAATTAGAAGAGGTCGACTTCGGGGCATTTTTCTTCTGAGTAGTTTGTTGAGTAAGAGAGCAGAAAGCTAAAATTGAAATCAGGGTGGTTTGTGGTGATGTAGGAGGATAAGAAACAACCTAAGGACTAATGGAGGATATTTTTGACACATCAGCTTTGAAAGGGAATTAGTTTAGCTTCTAGAAAGCTCTGCTTCTGCCAAAACTCAGTGTCTGAAGTCCCATTTCCACCATAAAACTGGCCCACCAGACAGAGTTTACTCAGCCAGTCACAGACAGGAGTCATAAAGCAACAGTGACGCAAGTCCAGTCAAAATGAGTCTTCTGGTGACATCTGCTGACTGAATCATAGGAGTCAATTGGACAGCCAAAAATTGAAATGAAATCCATGCTGATGTACTTTAACTGGAGCAACAACACACTGGACACATGGGCAGAGGATGAGACAATGGGCCCCTGGGCACAGACATGTGACAGGCCCTACCACCTCTCCTAGGTTTGGAAACAAACAGACTCTGTGGGATTGTGCCTCTTTCTGTATATTTTGTGTCTCCTCATGTATCTGTTTTGGTCCTTTTGTGTCACCTTGTAGTCATTTTGTGTTCCTTTTTGGTTGATTTGCCCATTTTATAGCAATTATGTGTCTCTTTGAGGTAATTTTGTGCCATTGGGTGATTTTTTTTTTTTAGGTTATTTTGTGTCTTTTTTGGTTTTGTATCTATTTAAAATAATTTTGTGTCTGTGGTTGTTTTGCCCCTTTCTATAGTTATGTTGTGTCTCAGGAAATTTGTTAAGGTTATTTTGTGTCTTTTATGGCTGTTTTATATCTCTTTTTGGTTGTTTTGCCCCTTTTGTAGTTATTTTCAGTCACTGTGGTTATTTTGAGGCTTTTTATTTTGTGTCTCTTTGAAGTAATTTTGTTGTTTTATGTCTATTTGTAATAATTTTATGTCTTGTTTTGTCCATTTTGTAGTTAGTTAAGTCTTTCTGAGATCATTTTGTGTTATTTTTGTCATTTAAAAAAATATTTTTTGGTTTTCCCCCTTTTTATAATTATTTGGTGACTGTAGTCATTTTGTGTTTCTTTGAGGTCATTTTGTGGTTTTTTTTTTGTTATTATGTATCTCTTTTTAATCATTTTGCCTCTTTTTATGGTTATTTTGTGTCTTCGTAGTTGTTTTGTGTCTGTTTGAGGTCATTTTGTGTTGTTTTTAAGGTAATTTTGTCCTTTTGGGTCTTTTTATTTCTTTGGAATAATTTTGTGTCCCTTTTTGGTTGATTTGCCCCTTTTTGTAGTGATATTGAGTTTCTTTGAGATTATTTTGTGTACTTTTTGATAATTATTTGTCTTTTTGTGATTGTTTCACATTCCTCTGTGACCTTTTTTATCTTATCCTTGCTGGTACCTGTTAAATTGGATGGCACTTGGCAGGTGAAGACACTTGGGCCCCTTGGCCTGTGCATGGTAGGCCTGTTCAGAAGTCCATCCACGACTGGACACTGACCTTAAGAGCCAACAAGAAATCAAATAAAGTTTGAGTGATTAAACCTCAGTCCGTTGGACAACCTGTAATTTGAATGATACATCTATTTGATTTTTATTGTTTTGGCTGCAACCAGGTAGAGTTTAGTCTACAAATATAAAATACAGATGCAGACAGCTGTCTTCAAAAACGGAATAAATCAGAAGTCAAATGAAATGTTAAGGCAATAATTTACACACAGGTGTTTCATTCACATTGGGGATGTTTTTCATTTCAGGCCAGGACACTGGATGGTGAAATAGCTTGTAATTGTTGCCTTGTTGTTCCGAGTACAGCCTGAAGATGGCGCTGTTGAAACAGGATTGATAGAGAAAAGAGTGCAGCCAGCGGTTTTGACTGATTGATCCACATGTTTTACTGATCTAATTTATAACCCTCCTCAGCAGATGAGCAGACCTCAGACACCATGTTGACACATTTATAGGAATATTAAAATATTAAAATGTCAGAAAACAGTCGGTGAAAAAGCGGTTGGTGTTGAAAATAACAATAACTTGCTACCTTTGCTACTGCTACCTTGGCTATATCTGAGCATGCGCACTGCATCGGTTCTATGGGGACGAGGAGGACATCACGGAAAAAACGTAGCAGCAGCACCACAAACCCCACGCCGTGATTTCGTCTCTCCGCTGTGCTAAAAGTGCGCGACGCAAGCGGCCCACGACTATGCCCGGTGCGGCGTTAAAGTGCGGGACGACCACTTGACAGGCCTGGGCGAGGTCTGAGCCATTGCCGGGAGAGGAAATACATTTCTTCGTATGGGAGCAGCATGCGGGAAATGGTTGGAGGTTGCTGCGTGTGTTCCGACGAGCGAGGCTGGGCAGAGAACCCCCTGGTTTACTGTGATGGACACGGCTGCAGCGTCGCCGTCCACCAAGGTAACATTAGCCGCTGTTAGCGTGTAATTACCGGGCAGCTGTGGCGGCTGAGCCGGCGGCTGGAGGCAGCCAGAGGTGCTGGTAGGTCGGTAGGTTTCTGTGTAGGTCTGTCTACGTGCGTGTTTGTGTATGTGGGAGGGGTAGGTAGGCGTGCTGTTTGTTGTTTCCTCTCCGCACACATGATTAAACACACAGGGCCAAGCGGAGTGACACCGAGCCTGGATGGCGCCTTGATGGCACTTCAGGTCCGTGCGTGTGTCTGTATGTGTGTGTGCTTGTCTGGATTCACGACAGACTGCAAGAGGCGTGTTTTGCGACAAAACAGCCCCGGCAAGGCCCGCCGGTTTGGACATTATGTTACCTTGTGTCCACTTGCTTTGTTGCCCTAATGAGACAACAAGGAGAGCAGTTAACTTATTACAGGGTCATATTTCAGAGCAGTGACCGATTGTTGCACCAACTCTGGGAGGCTTGTGCAGATTTATGCCTGGCTGACTTCACTCTGCCCTCATCTGCAGGTTAATTTTTCCAAGTAGGGATGATTTGTTTCCTAAAGTCAGCAAAAGTGCAGTAAAATGCAATAAAGAGAGTAGCCAGGAGCTGACACAGCAGGATGAGTTGAAGGATGTCCTCACTGGGTCCATTCACTCATATTCAATCTGAAATTTAAGATCCAAAATGTACTCTTCTTTTTCAAATATTATCTGACTAAAATGTCATCCACACTCAATATTACTAACATGACAACACAACATAGAAGATATAATAGAAAATGATGAAAATACAAATGTAAAAGAAAGTCATGTATGCATTGGAAAATTGCAAAAATAGTGTCATTAACCTCTCCTGTGTGTGTGTGTGTCCATGTGTGCGTCCCAGCATGTTATGGCATTGTCCAGGTTCCCACCGGTCCGTGGTTCTGCCGGAAGTGTGAATCACAGGAGAGGGCGGCACGCGTGGTGAGTATGTCAACACACGACATGACACAACACATCCATCCATCATTCCTGCATCATCTCAGTATGATTAATGCCACAGTCACAACCAGCTCTGCTCTCTCCTGTTTTGTCCCAGAGGTGTGAGCTGTGTCCCCACAAAGATGGTGCCCTCAAGAGGACCGACAGTGGAGGTAAATCTCACTTTCTGTCCATCTCACTGTCCTGCTGTTTCCCTGAGATACTCAGCCAGTGGATGAAGCAGCAGGGCCGCTTCTTTGCCTTTAAGGAACACTTCAACCACCAAATGATCA